GCGCCCCAGCGTCCCCGGAGTGGAGCAGCCAGCCCGCACCCGGCGCCCCGCGCCCCACGCCGCGCTCGCCCGGGCCGCCCGGAGCCCCGATGAGCCCAGATGGCCGGGGCTCAGCCCGGAGTGCACGCCTTGCAACTCAAGCCCGTGTGCGTGTCCGACAGCCTCAAGAAGGGCACCAAATTCGTCAAGTGGGATGATGTAAGTCCTGGGGCGGCCGGGGCTCGGGGCGCTGGCCTGGGCGCGGGGCGAGCGGCGTGGGGGTGGGGCGGGGGCGCGTTATGCAATGGGTGCACCCCGCCCCGGAGGGGGGCCGCCTGTGGGTGCACAGGTTGGCATTTGCGGGGCCAGAAGGCAGCGGCATTGCGCGGACTCCAGCGTCCTTGGATTTTAGTAGTTGCCATCCTGGACATATTCTGGGAGTGCCGCTTAAAGCTCCTAAATCTTTTCGGTGAATGGAGCTGGATGGGGCTTTAGCTGATGACAGGAGCCAGAGAGTTTGCAAAGTGGGGCCGGTGAAGTTGGAACCAGCTGCAAAGCGCTGGAGCGCGAGCCAGACGCGCCTTTCTCCGCTCAGGGACGCACCCCCTTACTACCTGCATTGCTCCCTTATAAGAAGGAAAGAGCCCGAAGTCTAAAATTGTTCAGCGAATCCTAGCTCTTTCAGTGTTTTGATGGGAGCCCACTCAGCAGAGGACAGGGCAGTCCAGCCGACAGGTGGTCTTAGATGCCAAACTTCAGCGCCAGGCTGTGAACTGAAGGGCCCAGAGAAGAGCTGGCTGGGTTCAGCCGGGAAAGCTGGAGAGCAGGGAGAGGGGAGGTGAAGGGTCAGGGAGGCTCCGTAGTCTAGCAGGCTAGTGAGGAGGGCTCTTTTTTAAAAAAACCTTTTCTTTTATTAAAAATAAATAACTAAATAAACAAAGCAAACCCAACTAAGCTAATTAGAGTCTTCGACTTGAAATAGAACCTCCCATGATTTACTTCACCTTTTGACAAGTAGGACAGAGGCCAGCCCAGTGGGGTCTCTGATGCCTTATGAGCAGGCTAATACCCTAGGACATCAAGTAATCTCTCTCCCCTAATGCCTTCAAAGAGATGTAAATGAGGAATCTGCTGAAAACTTGCAGATCTTCCCATGGGGGGCTTTATTGAACTGATCTTGTATCTTGGGTGTAATTCAAAAGGTTTGCTCAGAATAAATCACAGAAATAAAAACATAGCATTCAGATTTTTTTTTTTTAAAAAGGAAAATTAGATTCATTTAACTAAGACATCCCTTAATCAGGAGGACATATAGGAGAATGAGACGTTCTTCTTGCTAAAAACCTTTTCCAGGTAGTAAATTATAGCCTGTTATCCCTCCAGGGTATTTTTCTTTAATCTTCCTAAGTCATTTTCCAGTGTCTGAAAACAATTTAAATATTCCAGGTAGTGAATTCAATTACTTAGCTCAGTGCGCGTGTGTCTATATTTTGTCCAGTGGAAGTGCAAACAGAACTTTAGAGTGTGAGCCACAGCTTCCTTGAAGCTAGTTCCAGTTATTAAATGCTGTCGGCGAGGATATAAACATGTGTCCTTCTCCACTGGAACCGTGGGGCTTTCACACTTTTCACCTTCCCCCCCCTCCCCACCCCAGTCCTGTAGCACCATATGTTTTGGCAAATGGAACAGAATCAAAACAGGCACAGATTAAATGCATTGTTTTCATCGAAGAAAAAAAAGGGTAGCTCAGTCACCAACAAAACAGCCTTACCCATCTGTGGGTCCCTGTTAATAGGAGCTAATGCGATGAAAGATTTACAAGGACGAGGAGGGAGGAAAAAAGAAGTGCACTGAGGACTGTAAAAAAAGAAATTTCAGCATAGTCATTGAACAATTTCATTCTAAAGAATTTTCTAGAATTTCTTATATGTAAGATATTCTTCAGTGTTGCTTTGAAAATGTAGATGTCCTGTGCAAACTGATTTGGCTGTGTTCAGGTAAGATGATTGTTCACCTACTAATGCCAGACACTGGATTGGATCCTGGGATGATGAAGAAAGAAGACAAAAATCTCTGCTCCCATGGGCTGTGCAGGTGAAGACAAGAAAATGGTCAGGAACCCCAGTGAGAAGGATTTTTAAGTTTGGCCTGATAGAAACAGAATGGTGCCGTTGGGGTGATGGGAAAGCCACCAGTCAAAAACGTGAACAAGTGTGTCGTTGTCCTATGCCATCAAGTTAGAATGGACTTATAGCTGACCTTCCGGGGCTTGTTAGAGGCTGTAACACACTTGAGAGGAGATTGCCAGTCTTTCTTCTGCAGAGCAACTGGTGGATTCGCACTGCTGGCCTTTGGGTTGGCAGCACAGCTCCTTATTCATCAGGCCACCAAAGCCCCTTGAAGAAGGAGGAGGTATAAGAAGTACCCAGGCACATTGCAGAATTTCTGGAGATCCCAATAGGAAGGTTACAGGCACTAACAGGCACTAAGGGAATCTCAATAGAACAGAAAGTGTTTTTTAGGGGGAACCTGCACCAAACGAATCCAGGCGTTTGAATCCAGTCAGCTGGAACATGCCTGTCCAAGAGGCTTTATCCCTTAGGGTCTTTCTGGTGTTGTGTGGATAAAGAAGGCACCTGGGAACCTGTGCTTTCTTAAGACTGCCTCTGTCTTCCCACCTGCGCACTGCCTAGTTCATATTTGCACCTGTAGAGTATTTTCTGTAGATAGACTCCTCTCTCTAGCGCACCAGAGAGTTTTCAAGGCCGTGACCTTCCAGAAGCTGATCCTGAAGCCTTTCTTCTAAGATGACACTGGGGTGGGGGGTGGGGGTGGGATTTGAACTGCTAACCTTTGAGTTGATAGCCCAGTGCTTAACCATGTGCCACCCAAAGACTCTTTCTAGCTAGTTCACTATTATTGTGTACCATCAAGTTAGAAGCGACCTGAGCCTCCGGCGGGTTTTCAGAAGCAGTTAATCACACGTGAAAGATTGCCCATCCTTCTCCCATGGAGCAGATGGTGGATTTAAACCATGTGCCTTCAGGATTGCAGTGCAGCTTCTTGCCTGTTTACAGTGCATGTTACTGCTACTGTAAATTGAAGTCATAAGTCCTTCTGTATCTTTGGGAAGTCATAAGTTTCCTATGGAATGGAAGATATACCTGAGTACAGGCATTGTCATGCATAATTTTTGGCTGTTTAGTAAGAAAACATTCACCTATCAGAAGCTTTAGCTAGTAATTAGTCATCACAATAGGCAACAGGTAGGTAAGTGGTGCTAGAGTGGGATCCTGGAAGCACCCATATATATGTGTTGTGTCAGGACTAGGTATTAACTGTTCAGTTGTCTAATTATGGGGAGATCTGAGGCTTCCCACCGTCCATGGGCAGTGGGCAGCATAAAAGTATTTAATTGTTTTAAGATACACAGTCTGACTAGCAAAGTGGAACCTTGACACTTGAGAGCTTGTCAAGCAGGTCAAATCTATGTCAAATCATAGTACCCCTTTCAAAGCACGCTACTTGGTCTTTGCTTTTAGCTCTTAACATTTTTGTATCAACACAAGACGGTGGTGTTGGGAAGCCAGAATAAGGGACTGTGGCATTGTGGAAGAATTCTGGTGAGAATGGAGTCTGAAGGTGAGCTGCTTGCTCTGTCTCAGGAAGCTCCGGAGACGAAGTCTGACCACCTTCTCTTCTGGACGTTGACCATGCTCTGCACAGGACAGAACCTGGAGTGTGAGAGAAAGGATGGCGAGCTCTACAGTAGGCCTTCCAACTCCAGGTTCCTTCTGATTTTTCTCTACCAGGACTCTGCCTCTTTCCCGCAAAAACACTCAAGGCATGGGTTTTCATCCATTTGTTGTTTTGGTTGTTTCGGCCATCATTCCTTCTCTCACGGATTCAGATCTCACTCTGGCCAGGTTGTTTTGGGTATGCCTGCTTCGGTTCCTCACCTGCAGTCTGAGGAGTTTAGTAGTTACTTTCTCACAGAACAGCTGTTAAAATGACAAAATGCATTGCATTGCATATGCCTGACAATGTAATAATATACGCAGGTAAATCTTGTGAGTTGAGGAAACCTTTGATAAGGAAACCCTCAGTCAAACATATAATATGCAAGATGATGATAATACACAATATATTTTTTAAATTCATTACATTTTAAGAAAACAGTTTTAAAGGTTTTTTGGTTTTTTTTTTGTTGTTGTTGTTTGAGGTGTTTTGGGGTTTTTTTGTTTGTTTGTTTTGTTGTTGTTTTTTTTGGCTACTGTTTGGACCCGGAGTGGCATCTAGTTCCTAAATAACACTGTTCCAGAAACTCTATGAATTTTGATAAATGTAAATAGTTATAGAGGATCTTCAGGCCTTTTTGCTCATAGGGTCATGCTTGACTTGAAGGCCACAACAACCACAATTAAGAAAGAGACAAAAAGCTTATCAAGCTGGTCAGAATGTGTTAAGCAAATTCTAGATTATAAGTGTAGGGGGATCTGAATAATATTTCCATAGATTTAAGTGGTGGTTTGGTTTTTTGTTCATGATTTAAAGGCAAAAACCAATTTTCCAGACTTTTTTTTTAAGTGTTCGGAAAAATGAATCTGCCTTTTCAAAATCATCCGGAAGTTTTTCTGTTTTAGCCCCCTTTACATTGTGTCGAGCATCCCGAAGTCCTAATTTCTAGAGTGGCTCATTCTGGGGCCAAGCAGGCTCCAAGGTTGAGCTTTACATTCTGCCCTGTGGATTTTGAACTAAGTAACTCTTGCCCCCCCTCCCCCAGCTAAAATAAACTGAAAAAAAACAAACAAAAACCATGCTGGTATTTGGCATATTTCCCAGCAGCCCACACAGAAGCTCAGTTAGAACTTGTGCATTATATGGAATCTGCAGTTGAAATTTCCAAAGTAAGAGAGATGATGGCAAGCTGACACGGACAAGATGAATGAAAGAGTGGAGGGGACGGATCCGTGAGGTGGGAGTGTAGCAGTCTTGATTTTAGAAAGGGTTGCAGATTATTGGGAAGCAATAATGCTGGTCAGGAGCTGGTGGGCTCTGCTTGGGAGACCCTTACAGTGTAAGACAGATGTGTACCCAGAAAGCCAGCAACACCAAAGCCTGCTGCTATTGGTTTCAACTCAAAATGATCCTCCATTGGCTGTAACTTTTTCTTGAATAATTGTTCATATACATTGTGTTTCATGCATGTGCATTGTGAG